ATTTTATATTAAACTATTTATGCCACCGCTATAGCTGGAGCTGTGTGCTCTCTGGTAGCTGGTAACGGTATCTCAAGAAGTCTCGGGTCGAAAATTTACCTACAGTCCTCCCCTAAAGTCGGAAAGCATTTTTATCGTGCAACATTTTGAGGAGGAATTTATGAAAAATTTAAAACAATTATGTGGCATCAGCCACAGCATAGCGTTGTGGTGCATGAGGATGGACGGCCATTGATCGCCTGGTTGCCCAGCTGGTCAGCGGAGGAAATTGTGCAACATTTTATCTATCTGACGCAGAATGGCCAAGAAATATTAACTATGCATTGATTGGTTTTCTTACCATGTACAGGGGCAGCTGGTGGGGGCACAGAGTTACGGGGAATGAGAGGATAAGGGCAGATGCAAAAAATAACTTGTAATTAACTTGGTCTAGTTGCGATGAAACAAATGAGAGATCGGTCGACAAGAATTTAAGGGGGCGCCGTTGTGCTCGAATAGTAAAAGATAATCGCCGAAGGATACATCGCATCTTGAAGAAGTATAATCTAATTTAGAAGTTCACGGCGAACTTCCAGTCCAATCTAGGCTGAAAACAGAAAAGCATGAGACAGAATGATAAATGCCAAAAATTACCAATAAGGAAGCACTTACAATGCACCGAAAAGGGCAACACTGAAGACAACGTGTTGGACCACCGCGTTTTGGCGAACATGGGCCCAGCTCTACTCTGAAGTGTCCTTCCTTGTACAGAATCAGCGCATGCCGCCGACAGTGGAAGTATAACCTTGTCAGTCTGTCCAGGAAATCCCTCGATTTCGTGGTCGTCAAAGGTGTTGCGGCAAGACACTTTCATTGCCCTCGATCTAGAAATGTTTGATTCTGTATGCAAATCTAGTCGCCACAATCAGAGCGTCGAGTCGGTGGTCTCATTCGAACGTCTCCCGCTATGATTGTCGAACTTTTTATAGAAATGGTTCGTCGTCAAGCCAAGCCCAACAAAATACTCCACGCCATCGTTGTTCCACAGTGTCCACCATCCCGGGGAAGGCCAAGTAGCGGAAAACAGAACGGGGAATACGGCCCGGTACTACGGTTGTCTCTTTTTGCACGTATGGTCGGGTCGTCACCCGTCGGCACTACAGGCACGTCCTTCAGGGAGGTCAATTTCAATTAGATTTCGAATTTCCAAAGAATCCGCATGGTCCGCCAAATGTAAAATTAACAATTCAAATCTTCCACTGAATCATCAATAGTAAAAGCGGGTTCCTATTCCTGGATAAACTGGAGGATGAATGGTCGCTAACCCTTACTGTAGAAAAAGTTCTCCAATCGGTCAGGATTGAAGAATCAATGAATTGAGATATTGCCGACTTTTACACGACATTTTCTAGTGCTATTTGTCTGCATCTAAAATAAATTGACCATTGGAAATAAATTCAGATATGACCATAATCTCTTAAATATGTATTAAATACTGAAGCGGGAGGGATATAAAAATATCTTCAAAACGATTGCAGGTTCCATTCACTACATTCAGATCTTGGAATCAGAAAGTCGGCTCCCAGCTTGAAAGCTTCTTGTGATTGTGCTAGTCGGAATCAGTAAGGACATCTGAGTGAGGTCTGTTGAGCTCTGACGACTTGTTTCTTTATAAATAGTTTTTAATTTTAATTAATTGTATATGTTACTGAATAGTTACTTTAAGATTTATCTTGTTGGAAGGGCTGCTCAGCCTGTTGTTTTTGTTTTGTACCTACGAGTGGTTAAGTGATACGTTTAACCCTTGGCTGGCCTGGCTCATTGCGGTCAATTAGAAACTATCGCTAAGCCGGACAAAAATTGCCTGTCGAATCTTTCCGTGTGGCCGCCTTCTGCGAGACTACCGCTTCCGTGCAACATTTGCGATGCATGTGCGTGGCCGGAAATATTGGAAAATGCTGCGGCATAAACAATTTTAGACCATTCTGTGGCACACAGCTTAATTAGCCTGCCGCAGCGCAACATCCAATTGGCATGACTATTGGCAACCGTAGACCCGCAAAATGTTTGAAATTTCGGACAATTGTCTTTGGTGGAAATCAATTGCATAAGCTTTAAATAGCATAATGGGTGAGGGGGTAAAGGGGGCTCAGTCTTCTTGCTTGTCAAACAATATTGCTGCACAGAGATTAGGTGCTTATTTTGACAGGAGCTGTCAGACAGCTGCGGAGGATAGTCGGCCTAGTCCTGAGCTTTTGCCTGGGCAAACAGACAAAAATATTTGCAGCTCCGTTTCCTTTTTCGCTAAGGATGCATATGGATGTGGAGGAGTGTAGGAGTGTTGCAGGCGGATGGGTGTGGGTGGCTCCTGACCTGGCCTTAGCCAGCTGACGATGATGATTCTCATATCTCTGGTGCAACAACGAGTGCATGGCTCTTCTGCTCGAGTGCTCTGCCCTGCCACATCCGCACCCGCATCCTCATCCGCATCCACTTCGGCATCGGCATCCACATCGAGAATAGTTTTTCTTTGGCTTCTCTCATTTTTCATGCGCGCCAGCTAAGCTTTTAATTAAATGCAAGAAAATTCAATTTTAATTAAAATTTCTCAAAAGTCTCTCTCTAGCCCGACGCTGCATACGGATGGCGGAGCGATGAGGATGTGGATGAGGACTCTGGCAGCTTTGAGCTCTCGGGTCTTGTCCTGTTTTCGATCTGGGTTGTTCTACTCGAGTGTTTGCCAAACGTGTAAAATTGAAAATTAGGAAATCGAATTGTAATGCCAGCAGAGTGCAGACAAAGACTGACTGAGAGCAGGAACAGGAGTGGCAGTGGGAGTAGTAGCGGGTGTGGGATGGAGCCAAGTCATCAGGCACACACAAAAGCAAAATTGTAAAGTAATTGGAAATGAAAATTCATTTAGGGTCCGGATCGAGATGAACAAATGCGTGGAGAGAGCGGGGACAGTGTTAGGGTGCTGGTACGGGTGCGGGGGATGGTGCGGATGCGGATGCAGGCGATATCCAAAAAGGCATAAGGCTTAATCCGATTGGGCTTTGTAAAATTCTGGGAAGGGCCCAATGGACAGCCATCTGTGGACTCAGGCCTAGCCACTAGAGAAAAGAATTATGGTGAAACAGTCGCTAGCAGTCCCCCATACAAAATAGACAATGGGTTAACTAACGTTTGCTCTAAATTAATGCATACGTTTACATGCGATATAAAAAATATTGAATATTCTATATTGTCCATTCTGGTAGTTTCTTTGCAAAATATGTATGGTCATATGTATGTATGTATGTAAATGTATGACAATACTTATCGAAAAAAACCTTTCGCAAAGTCCATTCATTACATTTTATAGCAAAAACAAAATTGTAATACTTTTCGTCCCACTTCCATTCTCCTGTCAAAGTAACGACCTGATCCGTACTGCGCTTTGGAATACGATAGCGGGAATCGATATGTGACACGTAAATATGCATAATTATGCTGGAATCTGCAGTTGCACAGTGTAACAGACCAATATCGGACTGTCAATAGTATTTGGGACCCACATTTTTTGGGAGGGGGGCGGAAAAAGTTTTCTGGAAAAGTTTATTTTTTAGCCCCAAAAGCCCGGGCGGCTTTTGCGAGCATTTTGCACATAATTTAAGCGCACACATCCTGTCAAGTCATAAATTACACATATTACATGCACGTATAAATCGCAAGCCTGATACGGGTGTGCCAAAAGTGCGCCGGCAAACTGAGACCAAAGTGCTTAACATACTTTTTGGCGCACAGCCCAGGGCACACACACACACGCCACGCACAATCCCTTATGCCCCTTGCCCCACACAGATACAAAAACAGAAACAGCCATACGCAAATCGACAAACGCACGTAGCGTAGCGCAAAAGTTGAACAACTTTCAGCCAGCCCAGCCCACAAGTGAAAGCCGGAAAGTAAGTCAAGACGCTGCTAGGCGATCTGGGAATGTAACTTTTACTTTTTGCCGGCGTCTCTCTCTCAACCCGATGGCTGGCAAAGCCCAGGATTGTGGAACGCCGTGAGAATGGGGGGATGGGAATGGGCCATTAAATAACCCCGAGCTCCGAGCCTCAGATAACTGTACCAATTTAGATGCATTTCCATTGATTAGACGGATGCAGATGCATCTGATTGGGCCCTGGGTGTCGGTGCGTCTCCCATTGAAAACGTGACCGAGTTGTGAATAAGGTGTGCTCTTACCACACCCAAAGGCAACAATTTTCTATTTGAAATATATTTGTTTGGATGATCTCCAGCACACCAGTGGGCTGTGAAGTCGAATAATATTTCGTGTCAATTGTCTGACTACTGAAAGGCTTCAATACTCAAAAAACTCAAAGTAAGCAAATGTTGAATATCAATCGTACAGCCCTAAGACTGCTCGTCAAAAGCAGGAGCACATTTTCGAGGTTTCTCCGGCGATCAGCCTCCAGGACCTTGGTGACGGTACAACCTGGAGATCGGCACAGGGTGGCAGATAAAAAAGCCCAAACGATCTCTCCTGCACTGATGGCAATCCCGAGACTGAATTAAACACAGAGTAATTTCAATGCATTTCTCTTTATTCTCATGGATCACTAAGAGCTAATTTCGTAGTTCGAAAGCAGCGATGCTGAGAGAGCTGAAGAGCGACTTGTGCCTCAAGCTAGAGATGGCAATTTTCGTACGTGCGTGAGCCTACCCCGTAGGCCTACTCCAATCGGAAGCCGTAAGCCTTTAGTAATTTGCTTAGCTGTCACGTTTCAGAAATTCTTTTCTACAAGATAAACTTTGTGGATTATGATGAGGAAGATTAGCCATTTAACTGTCAAGGGGCACTGGCTGGGGAATCTGAGTTCCCCCCTTACGCAATTTAAAGTCTCCTCTTGCTGAACGATTGGTGTGATCTAAAAGTAGTTAATTATTAAGTTGTCAAATTATTGATCAAATTTATGTGTTTCGAATTTTTAAAATTGTTTCAGTATTCTTGCGACGTCCAGCTCAAAGTTTCAGATACCAGTTGTAGCTGTTGTGTTTGCTGACTTTTGATGTGTACCAGAAGTCAGCAATGTCGATATGTCCATCTGGTGTTCCGCGAGTCGGCAGACCAAATGTCGCGATCTATTACCTGTTGATCCTTCTAGGCCTATGTCTTGGTGCTGATGCAGGTAAGACTACGTACTACGACAGCCCCCGACTGCCAACGACGCTGGTGCCCTTTCACTATGAACTGAAGTTGCTTACCCGCCTGGAGAACTCGTCCACCTTTGGCTACGAGGGCGCCGTGAACATTTCATTCTTCGTCCACAAGTCCACAGATGTGGTGGTGCTCCACGCCAATGACTTCAGCATTAAGTTGGGAAAAATCCGGCTTCTGGAATGGAACACACTGAACAAGTACGAAGTTACGGAGTTCAACTTTAATAGAAAGTTGGACTATCTAATAATAAAAGTGGACAGTTACTTGAAAGAGGGTAGGTACTACAGTCTGAATATCGAGTTCGGTCGACGAATGTCGGAGAACAGAAGAGGGGGCTACTTTTTGGTCTACTCCACGGATGTGGTGTCGCAGCAGAAAAGGTAGGTCTCCTCCGACTTAGTCTAGCGATAAGACCCTTTCTCATCTTCCGCTCATGTGCCCAGCTGGTACTCGCTCACCCACTTTGAGCCCCGCTCCATGAGGTACACTATGCCCTGTTTCGACGAGCCCGCTCTTAAGGCCACTTTCAATGTGACCCTGGGCCACCACAAGCGCTTCCAGAGCTTCAGCACCATGAAAGTGGTATCAGTGTTGGCCCAGTAAGTAAACCAAATATTCGATAATCCAAAGACTCCTACTACTATAAGTATTATTTTCACATCCCACAGCAAGGAAATGAAGGACTACGTGTGGTCGGTTCACGAGACGACGCCACTGATGCCGACCTACTTACTGGCCTTCTCCATTAACAACTTAACCTGCACTTTCAGTCAGACTGGTGGTCCAACTCCCGTCCGAATCCGCACCTGCGCCAAGTCCAGCGAGCTCAGGCTCACGACATTCGCCTCTCAAAAGGCTCCTTTGTTCCTCGAATACTTTGAGCAAGTGCTCGACATGGTCCTCCCCCTCAACAAAATCGATCAGCTGGCGGTGGAAAAGTATCCCACCGATGCCATAGAGAACTGGGGCCTGGTAGTCTACTCCAGCGACTTAATACTGCAAACCGACGAGCCTGACATCTCCGAGCCGTCCCGTTTCAGGTTGCAGGCCCTGCAGTTAATCTCTCATGAAATAGCTCACATGTGGTTCGGCAACCTGATCACCGTCGCCTGGTGGACTGATGTCTGGCTGAAGGAGGGCCTCACCGGCTACTTTGAAGTTTTGGGCATTGATCATTTGTATCCGAGACTTGGTCGCAGGATTCTGGCTAAGTATCGAGAGACGACCCTGATGCACGAGGCAGAGAGCGGAGGCATATTCGTGTCCATCAAGGATATACAAGCGAACACTTCCAATAAATACGCGTACCAGAAGGCAACGTCCGTGCTGCACATGGCGGAGGGTATGGTGGGAAATACGACCTTCCTTGATGCCATCCATCGGTACCTGTACCAGTACGCATTGGCCAGCGCGACAACGGATCAGTTTTTTGAGAGCATCCAGCAGGCCAGTGACCGTGCCAAATCCCTGCCCGATTACGCTTACGTCAAGGCCATCATGGACACATGGATACTCCAGAACGGCTATCCGGTAGTGAATGTGATAAGGAATACTAGCCTGGTACTCATTCAGAACCACTTCTCCTTCAACGAGTCCCGGAAGGAGGCCTGGTGGATTCCCCTGACATACACGATCCAGAGCGAGCAGAACTTCAGTGACACCAGACCGAAGGCCTTCTTTCCGGCCAACAGTCCGCTGCTGAACCTGGACGTCTTCGTTCCCGAGAACGATTGGATCATCTTCAATGTCCAGGCCATGGGTTATTACAGGGTTAACTACGACGAGAAGAACTGGGATCTGATTGCAAAAGCTCTGTCGGAGGACCACCAGAGCATTCACGTGCTGAATAGGGCGCAAATTGTGAGCGATGCTTTGTTTCTCTGGAAGAACAAGCGCATCAGTTGGTCGACCGCGCTGAATGTCCTCAAGTACCTCGTCGACGAGGACGAGTTCGAGCCCCTGATGGCATTGGTTGTCGGAGTGACCAACGGCTTCTGGGGCGTGTCCCCGGAGAGTTCCATGGCGATTGCGGTAAGATTTTATATGAAAAACTGTTACATAGTGCGCCCTACTCTTGAGCATCTCAATTTTTAGAAATGGCTGAGCAATGCTGGAAAGTGGTATGCAGAGTTCATCAATTATACGTTCGACCAGTTGGTGTTCATCGATAATATTCTGGAGTCCGCTGACGATACCTCGGTAGAAGACTAACCACAGGCAACGGGAGACCATTCAGGAACCGCAGAATAATGGGCATACAGCCATCCGCTTTCTATTCTGCTGCTTCACCGCATCTCTTTGGGGGATAGGGAGCGAAATGAAACCGCCATCAATGAACCGCAATTGTATTTGTTTGCAAATAACTGAGCGTTATCTGAGACTATTTATCTTTATCTACAATGACAAAAACAAAAACAACAACAACAACACCAGCAAGGCCAGGCCAGGCCAGTGCGGCAGCAATGTCTCCTGCTCCTTCTCCTTCTCCTGCTCCAGCTCTTGCTCTTGCCCCATAACAATGGCAAAGGACACCGCCACAGTAGCCAGAAAAGAGGAGGCAGGGCATGGCAAGGAGCTCTCTTACAGTCCTGGCAGTGCCAAGGCGCCAACTGAAATAATGATGCAGGCGAAATAACAATAAAAGCAGAGCTCGCAGGAGTGGAACCGAAGATGGGAGAGCAAAAGTAAAGGACAATATCGATGCTCCTTTTCCGCATAACGGCCGGCGGTAAAGACAATGCCAGACCCCTAACGCTGCAGACAGGATGCGGATGCAATGGACTCCACTCCCTTTTCTCACCAGCTCCACTCACGAGGATGGACGACAGCCTTAAGTGCAACGCAAGGACAGCTTTAAGACCGCCTTAAAACCCAAACCAAAAAGTTCCCTAAATGTATTCACGTTTCGATTTTTCTGTAATTTTTTCTGTGTTCTCTGCAACAGTTTAATAATAACAATCCAATGAAAAGAAAAGGAATAAGGAAAGCATCTTTCACGCATAATGAAATTTAACCCACAAACAGGGGCTGGCCAGCGCTCGGACGGAAGATGATTCCGCCTAAAACCATGCAAATTAAATTTAATGGAAAATTTATTACCATTTTTTCTGCGGGTTCTTTTCCTCACACTGCCCGCTCTGACGACCGTGTTTTCCGCACTTCGTTTGCGTCCTGGGGGCAAGACGAATATTTATAAATCAAATTGGGGGCTGTGCATTATTAATTTTGTTAGCTGCAACAAGTTGGGGCAGCTGCCGGAGGCCTCGCCTGAGCCGAAACAATAAATCAGCGGTGTCTCTGTCATATGGTAAAATTCGCCACGTATCTGATATCAATCCATTGTCCTTCACTAACCCATCAACACCCCTTAATTGGCCTAGACTGTGGAGTACAATTATTTGTGCATTTATTATGGGAGAATTTTAATATTTTTTTTAGCCTTTGGTTTATCCTTTCAAAATACTTTTTTATGCCATATTTAAATGGTCGGCTGGCCGCTCTGTCTCTTTCAATTGCCCTTTGTTGATGGTTTGCATGCTCGCTACTGTTTGGGTGAAAAACTCATTAAGGTTGCCATTTATTTCTGTCGTTGCAATAAAAAGCGTTCCAAAGAAACCACAGCGGGCGCAAAAACACAAACAAATTTAATCACAAAAAAAAGATAAAATATTGTAAAATTGTAAAATCAACGGTGTAAAAAGGTTATTTTGTGACATAAACGTCCATAATGCAGTTGACAACTCAATAATGACGTTCAATGTGGCAGCAGGTAATTAATTTCTTTGAATGTTTCAGGTTCAGAATCAAAGGAAATCAAGCCAGATCATCTGGTCGCACTTTATATGTAGACTCCTCATTTCACATATGTAGAAGACATACAAAAAGTAAACTTGTCTTTAAATCCATTTCATTATCGGAAAAATTATCGGTCAAAATCACAGCACTCTCTGGAAGGCTACACAGTTTATAAGATGATATGATAAATCTTGGCTTAAGGTCGAGCATTTTTTGCTTGATCTGTAAGCCAATTCCAAATAAATAGCTGGGGCAAGAGACAATATTACCCATCACAAGGCATTTTTCGGTTAAATTTCTTAACGGGTTCAGGGTTTGTGGGTATTCATGTGACGCAATCCCCCCCTTAGCTTTCGTAAGAGTATCTGTCAGTATCGGCACTTAAAGCACATGTCGATTGCCTCAGTGCAAAGGACAACGGCAGTAAGCCGCCACAGGACAAGCAAACAAGCAGCAACCAACTCTGGGAGTCAAATCCGAGTCGTGTTGAATTTTTTGCATGAATTATGCAAAAGAGTTTGTTCAACTGTTGGGTGTGCGCGTGAGAGAGTGTGTTCCGGAGTATCGTATCCCTGTCTCCCACAAAGGGAATACTTAAATGGGATTTGGGAAATCACAAACACATAAGCTCCGCCAGAGGAACGAATCTGCGATGGAGAAGGGAGTGGAGAGCGGAGAGTGTGGAGAGGGGAATTAAGAGGACGGCAAAGGGAAATGCTGGCCAAAGAATTTTTTCGCTTTGATGGCATATCAAATTGCATTTCGGTTAAGTAATATTATATTGAGGTTGCCCAACATCATCGTATATCCACATGTACGTATCTACATACGTGCGTAATATATTTGCATTGCATACGACTTATTAAAGGTTGGCCAATGTTGGACCATGTTGGCCAATAAATTCTGATAGCGTTAACTGCCTGAAATCCCATTGCCCATTTACTTTGGACCCACGTCCATCCCGTGGAGCCGTGGCCGTGGAGCGCCGTCTTTGGCCATGCATCCTCGACCGCCACCTGCAAAATTGCAACTTAACAATGCCTCTGAGAGTCTCTCGATGCACCCGCCCCCGCACCTCCGCAACACCGCACCACCGCATCACCATCCCCATCTCCATCTCCATTCCGACCAGGGGCACGGATACCCCATGTGGCAGCAACGCATGCGGCGTATAAATCAATATTGGCAATTTAAAATTGGCTGGCGGTGTATGAAGCCAATATCCGGCACCGCTCTCCGGCATTTCGAGTGTGTTTGTGCTGCTGGGTCCTGGAGGAGAAGGCAGGCAAAAAATTGGGTGACTAGGGAAAAAAGGTGTGGTGCGGGTGGTGCGATGGGTGTGTGGTTGGTGGCCGGAGCTTGCACACGTGAATCTTAGACAAACATTATATGGCACCCGAAACGTTCGTTCGATTTGCGATTGGTGGGGCTTTTGTGAGTACGTTTCTGTGCTACACTCAGGATAGGTGGTTGTCGGAGAGGGGGGAGTGGGGTGGTTAAAAGCGATTCCCGCGAAGTCTATTAAAAATGCGAGTATGTACATTCGTGGTCCCTTTGCCGATGCGTCCAACGGGTAAATACAATTCGAAACAAAAAGAACAGGTGAGGGAGTCAACTAAGTGGTGGGGCAGAAAGAACAGGAGCGGAGGCAGAGTGCTCCGGATTGTTTCGATATTGGTGGGTGGGAGGAAACGCTTTGCCCATGGATTAAAGGTAATCCCAATAGGTAGTTAACAATAACAAAATAGAGATAGGATGCTGATAGACTATTCTTACGTCAAGAATCCACAGATCAATAGATTTATTTTAGCGCAAATTATTTGCAAGCAATGTTAAAACGTATAATCTCAGTTCTTTTAAACCTCAAGGATCATTCATTTCTACTTGGTTGGATTTTCCGAAATAGCTCTGCCATTATGCTTTCAACTATGCAAATTACAATCGAGATTTGTTTTTTGCCCCACATTGGGGAGGCAATCAAACAACAAACCACTAATCGGGCGAGCCCCCAGTTCGGGGAACGACCTAATTATGCGCCAATAAGTATGCAAAATTAAAATATTATGCAAATTACAGCGAATGCGGATGGAGATGAGATACTAGATGGTTGAAATTTAAACGCTTTTTGTTTTGACTTTTGGCAGAAATAAAATTATGACATCATCATCGTCATCATCATCGGCACCGGCACCACTGCCACCTCCAGCTCCCAGCCGGCCCCCCATTATCGGCAACGCGTCAAAAACAAATTACCCGCGAACTAGCCAGGGTGTGTGAGAGAGAGAGATGCGTAGCTAAAATTATGCCGCATCAAAAATCCTGTTCAGCCATTAGATATTCGGAGATGGGGCATGGGGGTGTGGGGCCAACATCAAAACAGTTTTTGTGGCCATGTCAAATGTTGTTGGCCGAAATACTCGAGCGAAAAGTGCGTGCAAAATAAAAATAAAATTTTGCCCGTAGTTCCCGGTTTCTTCCCGAGAGAAGTCTCGTTCGGGTTTTATTGCTGTTTGGCTGTTGTTATAATAAAAGATATTTCCAAGAAGATGAAAATACTCGTGCGTAATGGGGAATCAGTCAAGCATAAAGTATGAAAAATAGAGATAAATACCAGATTGCCTTTCGTACCAGGAAAAATGAATAATAACTGATTTTGTTTGTGAACAGAACACATCATACGTGATTCTGATTCTTGGTAAACTATTTCCCCGGGGCAATAAATAGCAGTGGATGGCCATCGCCGTGGATGGTATTGGAAAATCAATAAATATTATGAACTAATGATTTGGAGCCGAAAAATTTAAATGCAATGCATGGGCCCAAATTCCATTCGGCCAAGCGAGAGAATATTGGAAAATTAATCAGCTATGAACTCATAATAAATATTCATACGAGTATGTACATATGCGCACATATGTATAAATAAACCCGGCATTAAAGAGCAATCAGAATGGAAATTATTATTCAATTTCATTATATTCTGTTCTTTCCATTTTTCCGGTTATTTATATCATTCGTGGCGAATCAGTTTCTTTAGAGGGGTGTGGGGAGAACCCAGAGTGTAAAGAATTTTATAAATCGAATCATATTAGTAGGAGCACTTTTGTGTGTGCTTTGCGGTCTTCTCGCTGAGAGTCTTTTCCCCTTTGTTGACTTTTCGCCCTTGTTTTTTTGTGCATTTTTAATGGACAATATTGATTTTTAATCCCACACTCGTATCAGCCCTCTCCCAGATGGAGTTTCAAGCCCTGCCTGCCGTTTCCCGTGTCCCGTGTCCTGACAAAGTCTCGGGGGCTCAATCCCGTGAAGCTTACCATAATGTTATTGGAGTATAAAACACTTTTCCTAATTAAAACCAATCTTCTCCTCCTTCACCTTTGGCCGGCTCATGCAATTCCTTCTCGGCTCCATCTTTTTTTGTGCCCCACCAAATGCTCAACAATCCTTTGGGCCGTGCCAAGAGCTTAACATTAATTGCCGTCTTTCATTCCCTCTTTGCGACTGCACTCACCTGCAAAGTAGTCAGACGTTGGGCTGAGGCGTAGAAGAGAAGGAAAAAAGAACGACTGAGAAGATGGCCAAGTGAATGTAAAGTTAAGTACGAAAACTGTAAAGGGCCTGATAAAAAAGTTGGGCCAAATGAATTGCTGGGCGAAG